GGTAAAAAAAAAAAAAAATGTCAATACAATTTTGTAATAGTTTTTATAGTTATTTTTTTTTTTTTTCGGGGGGATTGGGGAAAAATACTTTGTACAATTGTAACAATAAAGGATATAACTTAAAATAATACAATATATTTTCTTTATTTATCCGTATTTTTAAAATTTATATGTATATAATTTTTATTATACATGTTTAAGGAATGACTTAAAAGGATGACTCAATATTTTTTTTTTTTAAGTGGCTCAAATGAATTCACTTGTGACTTTTTAATTGAAAAATGTTACACACTTTTGATACGATGATAAATTTCATACAATTATCACATACAGAAATTTGAATTTATGTAAACATCCAACATCCGATGAAAAAAACAGTATCGTAAATGATCGGAACTAAACTTAAGCGGAGAATCTGATGAGTAAGTAATATGAGTAATAATAATTAATTAGATAATTAAAATAATATTTTATTTGTAATAATGTGATATAAAAAGATATATGATAAATAATATACATATAAGTAATAAATATATATATATATATATATATATTATATATTATATATTATATAATATATAATATAAATGTGATTGTAACATATTGTAACATGTATTAACTAATTATGATTATGGTACGACAATCAATTTTAGGTTTAACCTAAAATAAACTCAAGTTTACGCCGTTAACGATATGCAAGTCATTGCAGACGGTAAAACAATTGTCACATAGAAACACATTGTTTCAATTACTCTAGTCGTAAGGAAAAATAATTGACAAATTGGTAACAGGTTTATCGTAACCCTATGTATCGTACAGATAAATTATGACAAAATTTTGATTCCCTTTTTTTTTCTTTTAACACCAATACCGATAAGAAAATCATAATAAAAAGAAAGAAAGAAAAAAAAGGATCTTTTATAGTAAATTGTACAACATATCACAAAAATGCAAAGTTTTGTATTTATTTTTGTATTATTTTCTTTATATAATCCTATGCATTCCTTTGTACAAAGAAGTAATATATTAATTAAAACGAACATAATTTTGCATAAATTTATAATTTACCTATCTATGCGTTGTTGATTCACATGTTAAATCTCTATGATTTGTTTACAATTTAAATTAAATTTTTTATTTTAGTTTTAAGTTTAAGGATTTTTTGAGAATCTGAAGAGAAAGAAATAATAATAATAATAATTTTTTTAATAATTTTAATTTCTGCAATTTGTTAATCTTTTCGAATTAGTTTGAGAAATTTGTCACGTTATCTGCATAATTATATAAATAATTATTAATGTGATGATTAATGCGGTAATATTTAAGCAAACAAGTTTATTTCATTGTCAATTTTGTCATAAGTTTAATAACACGTCTAGATTTTCTAAAATTTTTTTTTTAGTATACGTAATAATAAATATACGAGAAAATCATTTGAAATAATTTTAACCCATATTTTTTTTTTTTTATTATTTTCTCAATGGTTTTTTTTGTCCATTGTCGAAAAAAAAAAATATATATATATATTTTTTTAACGTTCAGTAAATCCCGAACAAAAAAAAAATAACAAAAAAAAAAAAAATCTTTTAATACATGTACGTTCATGCAATGCGGTAAGAAGAATAATGTAAAATTATTGGCACATTATATAATTAGAAACTCGCGAACAATGCACTTCTTCTCTTCAATTATCTTACCGATTTGGTGAATTACAAACGTCAGTTCTCAAAAAAAGAAAGGTCCTTTACGTCAATTTGAAAAAAAATTCTTTATCTTTTTGGCGCTACTCATTCTACTTATTCGATATTATCACATACAGTAACCCCAAAATTTTTATTATCTATCACAAAAGATGGCCTTTATCTTTTGAAGAAAAAGATTAGATATCATAAAGATATCAAATTTAAAATGAGTGTATGTAAATCATGATACTTGAATGAATCAAATTTCTCGTATTAGTCAGAATAAGGAGCAAATGAAAAAAAAAAATTGTTATTATTGAAGATTAAAATCTTTCTGTAGGTTTATATCAATAAGTCGCGGTTAAAATAAACCAATATTGGTATATAATAATGTATTTGAGTACTACACTTTCAATTAAGGGGGACTCAAAAAATCGCGGTTAAAACTTTAATTATACTGCATGTAATAAATGTATATAATTTCGTACTATAATAGGTTTATAATGATAACGACTATGCGATATAACGAATTTCACGATAAAGCGAGGTATCAAGATTTTTTATCTTTGTATATGAAACATTTAATCAAACTCATAAATTTGGGTTCGTTATACTTGTAATGTATTGTATGTAACGTACATAATTTATGCAGATAATAGTTTCCTGCTGCGTTTTTTGCGGTTTTATTTAATATAATTGTTTTTTATAAGTCATTGGTTTATATCAAAGTCGCGGTTAAAACTTAGCCAATATCGGTATTTTACATAGTCAATTAATAGATATCTTGCTGTATTGCTGTAGAAATCGTGGTTAAAACTTCTGAATTTACTGTAATAAATGAACAATATCGGTGTTATAAAATTTTTAAAGTATTTCTAACGCAGTCAATTAATATATTATATAAACATTAAACTTGCTGTGGAAATCGCGGTTAAACTTGTAATAGGTAAATGAACCAATATCAGTGTTATAATAAAATTTTCGAGGTACAATTTTTACACAGTCAATTAATTGGTATAAAGAGCAACAATTATTTAAATCTTGCTGTAGGAGTCGCGGTTAAAAGCTGTTGTACTACACTGTCTACAGTACATATTGAATTCGATATACTGGATCAATTCTTTCAAGTTCCATTTACAAAGTTTAGAATTTCTAAATCTCTATTTTGTCCCCAAAATCAATAAAAAGCGACGTGGACTACCTCATATTAACTTCACCTGATTTACATTCCATATTATCTTCCAATTTTTTTCATGCTATTCAACCTATTCTGAAACGACTACGTAAAAATTACTTTATATTGCGAAATCTGATGAATAGTTTTATTATAGACCATTAATAATCTCAATTCCTAAGTATTGCATATGAATTTTCGGGTATATTCGTTATATTTTCATTCAAATTAATAATTTTATAAACTTTTTTTTTTTTTTGTTTTCTGGCTCAAAAATCACGTTTATCGTTCAATTCGTTTACATCATTATGATTGGTCATCGGATATTTCCATTTTAATTTGATACTGAAATTTTGTAACACAAAAAAAAAAAATATGTAACTGAAATAACTAACGAGTTTGATCTCATTCAAGGTAATTTTAATTTTTTTTTTCTCTCTTTCTAAATATCCGTTCAAAGAATGTCAACTTCTTTAAATCAAGAATATAATCAATATTCACAACCTTCTTCTACAATTATATTACCTATATCAAATAATCCTTATTTCTTATGTAACATTCTTGCGGATAATGCGAGAGAATATATTATGTTATCAAATCATTCATTTTTCGGTTTATTTGATGTAATATATGCATTCATTTTAGCAATTGTATTAGGGTTTATGGTAATATTACCTTAATAATAAAAGAATACATAAAAAATATTATAAAAAAAAAAATTAATTTTAATTTTTTTCATCAAAACAATTTTTTTTTTTTTTTTTTTTTATTTTCTAGAATCAAACAACAATAACTTATTCAATATCTATAGCCATGATAATAATATGGATTTGGTTAAAACTTAATATAGTAAAAGAAGAAAGTATTTTATCAATTAGAGATGTTGGTATACAAGTAAAAACTATTTATATGAATGGTAGAAGTGTATCTAAATTTATTGATAAATCAAAAATTTCTGATATTATAATTAATGAAGGTATAACTATGTTACAAGTTAAATTTTATATGGCTATAATTGTTGATGGTCAAGATAGAATGGTGGTTGTTTTTGAGGTATTTAATTTTCTTAAGAGTTTAATATTATTTTTTTTAAATGAGTTTCTAATTGATTAATTAAAAAATTTTTTTTTTTTTTTTCTTCTTTTTAATAGCATTTATTACCAAAATTAAATATTTTATTACAAGTATATAGAGGTACTAGATATGTAATATTTAATGAGATTGAAGAAAATTCTGATATTGATGGTTATTCTCATTCTATTCATTCTTATGATATTAATTCATGAGATTGAAAAAAAAACCCCCGTATTTATGTAAATAATCTTACCAAATGTTATGGATTAACTTTCGTATTTTATATTCACGAATGTATTGTACAGTTTTATTTTAATACGAGAGAATGGGAAGAAACATATATCTGGCGAGATAATTTACGAGATGACAAATAAGCAATATCTCAGCAACCCTCTAATTGTATAGATTATCGTTTATGGAGGGAATTATCACCGACAATATTTGTGGATTATGGCTCTATTTTATGGTATGGGCTCTCGAATTCTTTTTAAATTGCATAGATTTTCGTTTATTAAAACCACATCAAAGAAATAGCGACGATAAAATGATTTTTTTTTTTTTTTTTAGTGCAAGAGAATTTTTCGACCGATTTTTTGGTCATATAAATGACGTAAGAAAGATAGAAAGAATGAAATTAAAAGTTAATAAAAATATGCCGAAATCCGTGGATTAATTAATAAATAATTAACGTTGCGAAAGAGAGCTTTAAAAATTTAAATTATTTTATAAAAAAATCTTAATTGGTGGTGCTACCGATGAAATTGGGGCATGAATTCTCAGATATAGAAACATTAGATTAATAATGATTAAATTCAACATTATATTTGTAGTGAAGGAATATTCGGTTTAAATATCATTAAAGATGAAAAAGGAAGGAAATATTAGTTTGAAGGGCTCTCAATTCTAGAATTTAATTTATTTACTCGATTTTAATACATCCAAACTGGTCGTTATTATTATATTAGAATAGCAAAGTAGAAAATCTTATTATTGATCAAAATAAAAGCAGAGAATGTGAAGGAGGTGATGAGGAAATTGTATATATAGTAAGTCATAGTACTTTTTTCTTAAAGAAAGCTCTCTCGATTTAATACACCCGAACTGGTCCAAAAGGAACATCTTATTATTGGTCAAAAATAAAAGCAGAGAGGATGTGAAAAAATTGTATATATAGTAGTCATATTACTTTTTTTCTTAAAGAGAGCTCTTGATTCTAGGATTTTATTTATTCGCTCGATTTAATACATCCAATCTGGTCCGTTATTATTATATTCGAATAACAAAGGAGAAAATCTTATTATTGATCAAAATAAAAGCAGAGAGGATATGATGGAGGCGATGAAGATATAGTATGTCTCTTATACACATCTAGATGTGTATAAGAGACAGATAGTAAGTCGTAGTACTTTTTTCTTAAAGAAAGCTCCTCACAATAAATTCTTATATCTTTTTCTGTTAACCAAATATCTTTCTTATATTTTTCATTATTTCTTAAGAAAGATCAGATAGATCAATGTACTGTAGATTCAAATAAGAAAGTTCATTGAAATAACCAATTAGATTGGTGTACGATCAAATGTGTTCGTTCATCGAAAAGACATTTAGATCATTGTATATTTAATAGAATATAAGTAGGCACTACAAGTAGACACTACAAGTAGTAGATACTACAAATAAACGCTTTTTCCAAAAATAAAATAACAGAAATGGTTTGTCTATTGATGATTTTATTTTAATTATCGTGATATTTGTATATTTACAATAACAAAATAATCTTGTTCATTTTGATGCAAGCTAGTATATGCAAAATATATATATATGTGTATATGTTTAGAAAAAAAAAAATATATCTATAGATTTCTATGTTCCAGCAAAGTATGCCATAAAAGAAAAACCAGCAAAAGAAAATAAGCAAATAAAATTTTTGTCTATTCTAAATCAAAACATCTATACAATAAATAGCCGTTACTACTTGTTACCACTTGTTACTACATGTTACTACTCGTGACTCTTCGTTACTTCTCATTACTTTACATGATTTCGTTTAATATCATCGAAATTTAAAACTCTTTCATTCTCTTTACCTCGACTAATATGACGTTCATTTATTCTTATTATTCGTTCCATCTCTTCAATATTTAACATCTTCAAAGATTTTATAAATTCATTTATTCTCTCCCGATTATGTGGAAGAAAATACGCGAATCTTACATCCAATCCAGGTCCACAGATAGCTTGCATATGAGAATGTAAGAATCTTAACCATTGCTTAAAAGAATTTTCTTTTATAAAGATATTATAATCAACCATTCTTAAAAAATCGCGTTCAAAAACGTTTAGTTGTTCAATGGTATATCCGGTAAAGGATGTCCAATGATTAGTTTTGTAATTTTCATCTTGAAAAAATTTCCATGCTATAATTAATGATGAAATCAACGCGGGCAAAGGTTTTATGGATTCTTGATTTTCAGGGCAAGGCTCTGTCGAAACGGTAAATCTTGAATAATTAATAATATATGATAATTCAACTTTTGAACGATCCAAGCATCTCTTGAATCGTAAGAGATAATACAACGCTAGCTCAATAATTCTACAATTTGTTCCAGACATTTGTAAAACTTGTCGCATCCAATAATGGAATTCACTATCGTATAATGTACCCCAAATTGATAATATAGTATATCTGATAGTATCTAGTGAAAAAGTGGAAAAAAAAGAAATATGTGAGTAAATTTATAATATTAGTATACATATATATTTTTTTAATTTATTACTACCCAGGTAATTTTGGTGCATATTTTCCGATGGACTGAATTTTTGCGTTACTAAATAAATGTCATACAAAGAAGTGACCCAATATTGAGATATTTCTCTTTTAGCATTTTCTTCGGTAGTTGATGATACATAATTTGTACGTTGGTTTCTGTTGTTTCTATTTTCGGGAACATTATGTAACTCTTGATCACCTATACAAGAACTTTGTGTGCTTGTGGATGAATAACTAGATGAATATTTTGTCGATTCTATCTGTCCTGCAGACTGACATTGAGGTGAATAATAAGAGGTGGGTGATTCATCATAATTATAAAAAAAATTAACACAATCAGGTTCATTCCATTCATTCCAAAAGATTTCCTTTGTTCTCAAAACTTTTTTGCACGCGTTATTAGCGTCAGTGTCCATTAAAGTTAGATTAGAACTTGATACAGGCGTCAAGGTAGAATTATCTTCGGCCTTTTTATTATATCTAATTTTTACAAACCGTGAATTATTATAATTTTTGTTATTATGATTCTTAGAAAGGTGTTCTCTACCAACTTGTTGTTTATTCTCGTGTTCAATTTTTTGAGTTTGCTTGTTCTGTGATGAAATACATATAAACGTAGTTTTAGATACTTCAATTTTGGCGTTTTGTACATAATCATAATTCTTCTTTTTATTATCAGGACGTGACGAAGGTTGAATAGATTTAGGTTTTATATCTAACCAAGTTGACACAATAGGCATCATTAGATAATTTCTTTTTTTTAAAAAAAAGAAAGAAAGAAAGAAAGAAAGAAAGAAAGAACAAATTGGTGGGGCTGGAAAAAAAGAAAAATGACGGTTTAGCATATTATTTATACACTTAAAAATCTTTGATCAGGCACAGGGAGTTACACACTATAAATAATTTTAGCCTATTTTGGCATCCAAAGTGTTGGGGGACTTGGGGGTAGTTAAGGAGTAGATTATTTCGACAAAATTAAAGTTCTTCGATTATTGTTGTATCACTGAATTCAAAAAAAAACTTACCAATAACCAATAAATTATTATTAATAAAAAAAAGGGACCTGAAGAAAAAAGTTAAATTATTTGAAAGAACAATTGTTTAGATTTTAAAATTTTTGAGATGACGTAAATTTTTTTGTGTAATGACGCACTGATTTTTTATGATTTTCGGTAGCTTCAGCATAAGTAAATATTTTAAATATTTTGTATGAAAATTAATCTAATTAATCCCCCTATATAATAGTATAGTATAATATTTTATGAAAATATAAAAATAAATAAATTTGAACTAAACTAAATTACTTTGATCTATTTTAAACTTAAAGCAACTTTACTTTAGTAGATTTAGATTCATATTTTAATATATTGGTTTGTTTTACCATTATCTGTTATTCCATGTTGCAGAATAAATCCAACTTTACCAATATATCACTATTAAATTGTATCTATTTTTGATCCACTTACATATTGGGGTATTTCTAACACTTCTTTTCTTCATTTTGTAGGCTTTCTTGTACGAATCGGATTTAATGTTGTAGGGGTCATAACTCATAAGTATCCTACCCCTCGTAATTTCTAAAGTCAGGTAATAACACCCATTAAAATTTTTTAAAATTAAATACAATACTAACCTTGATAATATGTAAATTTATAGGCTTATATAATATGTAGATCAGGAAGTTAGATGATCGGTAAATTTTATGTCCAAAAATATCCTTTTATGTAAATATTTCCATTCCTTATGCCTTAACCCTTTAGATATATAACTTTTTTTTAAATATATTGATTTTCAAGAGTCACTGCACATTTCCTTTAGAATTTTTACCAAGTAAAATATAAAGCTAGGGAATTTCAATTATACTATATTTTTCCTCTTTTTTTCATAATAATATTTGAATGGTGTTTGGAATTATTAACTTTGTCCAGAATTCATATTAAGTTATCTTGACTAAAAATCTTATAGGAATAAGCCAAGAGATCTCTTTCGCAGATAATATACAAAAAATGAGTATCTGAAAGCAAATTGGTTTACTCAACTTCAGAGCTGAAAAAATCATTGCAATATGGACTTTGCAAATGATATGACTTTTTTTTCTTTATTTAAGACTTTATTTTAATGACATTTTTGGCCCAATAAACTACTATAATCTTAACTATAATGAATGTAAGTAACTATATTTTCAAATTTCACTATAGTTCTATTGAATATTTACGCACAAAAACATAAAAACAATTTTATATCAAATATTAGAAAAGATCGGCATTTTGCAGCCGATCATCTAAATTATGTATTATAATTCTTATCAAGGTTATATTTAAACCCAAAATGGGTGTTATTACTTGGCTTTAGAAATTATGAGGGGAGGATACTTATGATCCCTACTGTAAATTTAAAATTATAATTGACATACGTAAAACATTACTAAAATTTGTCAGTAATTCCAATTATCCAATTAACAAATTTTATCATACTGTGTTGAGAAAAAATTTTGACTAGATACCTCATTCGCTTATAATATAAAAATTTGCATGAACTGTATCTATGCTTTCTGCGTAATTAACAGAACGAAAAATTATTAGCAAGCACGTGAAATTTAACCAATCAAGTACGTCGAACATCCACTTGTGCCGAATTACCAATCAAAATCTCACGTTATACAATTCTACCAATCAATTCTTGTAACGACAATTTCACTTACCGTAATTTATGAACTTCGGAAATTATTAACAAAACAAGAAACGTTAGCTGAGCAATGATGTACATGGAAGATTCCAATTCCACTTCTAAAACACGGTTATTGTTATATATATATATATATATATCTGGGAATTTGGAAGTTTCCTTTGGAATTTGAAGATTTGAAAATCCCAAATTTTACTACTGTTTTTGTTGGTGCATTATTTAATACAATAACATTAAACATATATATACATATATATACATATTTGGTCTTGGCATCACGCCAATGCTTTTGTATGTTTTTTTTTTTTGACGTAAATATGAATAATATTAATATTTATTCCGTGATAAATTTTGATAACAAAATCATTGAACTGCGGTTCTGATAATTGTTTCCGAGAAAGTAAATTTTATTCAAAAATAATTAAACAAGACGTGAACGGGGTTTCAAAACAATTGTTTCGAATATAATAAATAGACATGATTTTATAATTTTTTTCTTTTCATTCCTTTTTATTTTTTTAAAAAAAAACAAAAATAAATTCGTAAGAAATTTAATATTCTTTTTTTAAAAAACTTTTTTATTCTTTTATCAAAATATTTTTATTACAAACGAAACATTTAGTTACTTCTTTTCATCTTAAAAAAAAAATGAGTGATTTCCTACCCCTCACTATTGGAGATAGCTCTTATGCTAAAAATGCAGTTAAATACATTGAAATTTTAAATAAATTGCGTCGTATGGGAGCGCAATCCGCCGTTGACTTACCAACCGTGGTTTTTTGTGGAAATCAATCAGCTGGAAAAAGTAGTTTATTGGAAGCAATTTCCGGAATCCAGGTAAAAAAAAAAAAGAAAATTTTTTGACTTTACGAGAAATGAACGTTTTTATTTTTTCAAAATTAATACGTCATACTCTGCTTTTGACATTAACAATTTTTTTTTTTTTTTGTAGTTACCCCGTTCAGATGGCACATGTACAAGATGTGTTATGGAAATACGTTTAATTAAGTCTTCTAGCGAATGGTCATGTCAGGTTTCTTTACGTAAAGAGTATGATAATTTTGATGAAAAACTTATTCGTCCTGAAGAAACAAAATTCGGCAGAATTATTACCCATCCGAATGAAGTAGAAATAGTTGCTCGTCGGGCTCAAAAAGCACTTTTAAATCCTAATTGTAAACCTGAAGATTATTTTGAATGGGATTTTGAAAGTTTAAGTTATGAAGAGGATGCAGATAAGAACGCTTTGAAATTTACGAAAAATGTTGTTTGTTTGGAAATAAAAGGACCAAATGTTCCAAATCTTAGTTTAATAGATTTGCCCGGAATTATTCGTAAGTATTTATACTATATTAATCTACTAAAAATTTTTTGTCAAAATTTTAACATTATATAATTTAAATCATTCTTAAAGGTCATGTTGAAAAAGTAGAAGATGAAAGGTTCATAAGATTAATCGAAGAATTAGTCGAAAATTATATTTCAAAAGAAAAGTCTATTATCGTGGCAACTATTAGTTGTAAGGACGAAATAGATAATCAAGCTATTATAACTCTTGCAAAGAAAGCTGATAAGCAAGGTCTTCGTACTCTCGGAGTTTTAACAAAACCAGATACAATCGAGGAAGGCACTCATGATACTTGGATGAAAATTATGAGAGGTGATGCACATAGATTGGCCCTTGGATATTATGTTGTAAGAAACCCAAAACCAAAGGAATTAAAAGAAGGAATTACATTTAAAGAAGCTCGGAAAAATGAAAAGAATGTTAGTAAAAATTTAAATTGCATAAATTGATTATTTATACAAATTAATTTTATTTCTAATTTTGTTAAATAGTTCTTTGATAACGAAGAACCTTGGAGAAGTTTTTATATAAGAGATCGTTTGGGTGTTGAACATTTACAAAAGAAATTATCTGATTTATTAATCGATGCGATTAAGCGTACCCTTCCATCAATTAAAAAAGAAATTGAAGATAAACTTGAAAAGGTACGTATATTTTAATATATAATGGGACAGAATTTTTGCTAATTTTGTGCACATGACCGTGATCAGCAAAGTGAGCCAATAAAAAAATTTTGACCAAAATTTGAATTCCCCCCCTCTTTCTATTGACTTCCACCCAATATTGTATTTATTTATTATTTTGATTTATTTGTTTATTCTTTGATAAATTTTCCAGATTCGCGAAGAACTTGAACAAGTTCCTGAACAACTTGGAGAAAATCCACGACTTGAACTTTTCCGAATGATAAAAAAATGCGCCAACTCCATTCGAGATTTAATCTCGTGTTCTAATGATCATACGGATTTATGGCAAGAAATTAATGAGGAATTAGGAAAGTTTAAGCATAATCTGTGCTCTACTCGTCCAATTTTTGAAATTGGTGATGAGAGATTTGATACTTTAAAAGAATTCCTAAAACCTATAAATGAAGATGTAATAATAGCGGAGAATAATGATGAATTACATATAGTTAAAGAGATTGATGTATCTGATAGTGTAAATAAAGCACGTGGACGTTTGTTACCTGGCTTTATCCCTTATAGTTCCGTGGTCAGTCTCATAAAGAAACATCAAAAAAGATGGAAATCGCCAGCTTTTGATTGTTTACATGAAATTAACGAAATTATGACGAAACATGTAAATGAATCTGCTGATAAAATATTTTCACGTTTTCCGGCCTTGGTTGGTAGAATTAAGTATGTGTTATATAAGATTTTATTTATCTTTTAATAATGTAATTTTTTTTTTTAACCATAATTATTTTTAAAATTCTCCATTTTTTTCTAAAGATTTCGTGCAATGGAATATCTTCAAGAATGTAAACAGGATACTGAGAGACATATTAATTTTATAAATGACATAGAGGGAAACAATTTTCCTTTTACTTTAGACGAGGGCTCAATGAATCTCTCAAAGGCTGAATATTTAAAAAATATTCAAGAAGTAATTGAAAAAAATAATAGGTCAATGTTATCGAGACGTGTAATAAATGGAAATCAGGATACGTTTGAGATAATGGCATCTGCTATGTCATATTTTAAAATTGCATTCAAAAGATACGCAGATATGATTTCTATGACAATAATTCATGCATTTATTGACAACTTCGCAAAAGATATTGAAGAAAAATTCCTTGATGCATGTGAACCTATGGAAGGGGAAGAAGATTTTGAAATTACCGAATTAATTAAGGAAGATGAAAATATAAGTAAAAGAAGAGATAATTTGTTAGAAACTGAAAAACACTTACGTTCTATGTTATATAGTCTTGTAAGGTTTGGATGTTAAAAATAAACAAGTTTTTTACAATTCATGATCTGTTTTAATCTTAGATAATCAGATTTTTTTGATGAACACAATAAAAAAAAGTAATGTAATTTTTTATTATTTGTAAAACGAAATATTACTTAAAATACGAGTTTGTGGTTCGTAAAAAAATAAGTCCGATACTTTTAGACTCGGGGTTAATATTGTCCGACTTGGTGGGAAAAAATTTAAATAAAAAATACCTTATATAAAAAATACAAATAGGCCAATCAAATGAATAAAATATGAGGTGATTGAAACGGAACGGAACGGAAAAACATTTTTTATTTATTCCATTCATTACTGGATACAAAGAATCAGATAAAACTTAAAAATAATAGCAAATCCTTAAATTGGTTTCATAATGCATTAAAAATTCTCCGGCACATAGTTTTTAAATGCAAGTATATGAGCACAAGTAAAGTTTACAATTCTAGAAATCTCCCCCAGAACTCTTCGGAAACCCTACTAACTATTATTATAATTATGTGCCATAGGTAGGCTAATGATTTTCTCAAGCCAATGAAAGAATTTTTTTTCTTTAGAAAGTTGGCAAATTTCAACACGCCATTACTCAAAAATGGAACCTATTGTTTTTTTTCCTTTTTATCAAATAGATTTCAGAAAATCCAAGTAATTATGGGAAAATCTTTAAACTATAATCAGCTAATCAACTAATCGACTTGTAATCGTTTGGCTGTTTTAATGTAAAAAAACGCTTACTAATTAATTGATGGTTTTTTTTTGACGTATTTTTTGTAACTTTTTTTAATTGTAACAAATATTGTAACTTTGTACACAATCAAAATCCTGTTAACCCTGATAATCTTTTTAAGATCATTGTAAAAATTAGACAGCATGACCCCATGTCCATCATTTTTTTTGGCAATAAACAATATAAAATCCGGATATAAATTATATCAATTGTATCTTATATCGAAATTGTACTCGGATTACTCCGTTAAACGATAAAGTTTGGCGTACATAAATATTCTCATTCAACTAAACGACTAATATAGTAAATCAATAATATATGTCTCCTATATGATAATTTCTTTGTTTCCCTAACATCTTATTGGAAAATTTTATTACCTTAATGAACGCCATTTTTTTTTTTTTTTTTTTTTAACAAAGAATTTATATAATTTTTATATATATTTTTTTTAAAAAAATAATATAATAATAAAATTATTTTGATTATCATAATAAAAATTATTAGTTAAAAAAATAAATATATCGGCGGGTTAAGGGCAAAGGCATTTCGATGAAGAAAAAAAAATATTCCGAAATAAAAGTGCAGCTTGAAATCATATATATAAATTCCCATTTTCTATTTAGAACATGCTGTATTTCAATAATATTTGGTTGATCATACTCAAGTTTTGATGTTGGTTAAACATATTAAGTTAAAATTACAAATTCAACTATCGGAAAATTAAAAATTCATCGTTTATTATAGGAATATATTAAAAATTCTTTCAATTCATGGTTTAGCGCACTTAAAATTTTATTTTTCATTTTTGGTTAGATTCATTATGGATAAATTATTCATCCAGGTCAAATCTTCCCCTATTAATTTTAGTATTACTAAATTTGTATTACCGAAACACCGAAACCGGATTAAAAACCGGATCAATAATTAGATTCTGTCTCCAGAACTAAGATTAGCGCCTATTGCCTGTTCCAGTTCATAATAATTAATTATATAATTAGAATCAAATTTTTATTAATATAAAGCTCTCAATTTTCTCCCTTCATGAATTCATGTCCATTGCTTAATGATAATTAATTTTATTAGCATATGAGTATATAATAGAATCGATCTTGCCATTAAATATAAATATAATATATATATATATAATTAGTTTCCAAAAAAAAAAAAGGAAAAATAAAACCTTTAAACCTTTAATTCCTTTATCATAATGTCTTCGAACGATAGAGTAACAATTGATGTCGATAAACGTAGAGCGGCTCTCAAAGAGATTGATGATGCAAAATTTGGCTGGCAACATATTCGTGCGTGTTTGGTAGCTGGTACCGGCTTTTTTATGGACGCGTACGATCTTTTTGCTATCAATTTTGCCTCTACTATGATAGGGTACGTCTATTATGGTGGTAAAACTCCTGCAAATATCGACTTGGGTTTGAAAGTGTCAGGTTCTATTGGCACTTTACTTGGTCAATTATTTTTCGGTTATTTGGCAGATCGTCTTGGGAGAAAGAAGGTAAATATTTTAATATGAAAAAAATTTAATTTTAATTTAATTAAATAATTATTAACTTTAAAAATTTATAATTTACTTTTATAGATGTATGGTGTTGAATTAATGATCATTATTGTTGCGACAGTTGCTTCATCGTTGGCCGGTCAAAGTCGTGCTGTTACAGTAGTCGGTATTATCATGTTTTGGCGTGTTGTAATGGGTGTCGGTATTGGAGGAGATTATCCTCTTTCCGCAATTATTACATCTGAATTCGCCACAAAAAAAAGAAGAGGTGCTATGATGGCCTCAGTATTTGCTATGCAAGGATTTGGAATTTTAGGCTCTGCTATTGTAGCACTTATCGTTTTGGCAGCTTTTAGAAGTGCAATTATCGCCGATGTTTCTGCTGTTGATTATTGTTGGCGTATAGTGCTCGGTTGTGGTGCTATTCCCGGTATTGCGGCTCTATACTTCCGTCTCACAATTCCAGAAACCCCACGATATACTATGGACGTAGAACACGATGTCAACAAAGCAACTTCGGACGTCGCCAACTATTTGCAAAAAACTGACACAACAGATGAAAATGATGGACCAGGCAATCATGTCGGTGTACCAAAAGCAAGCTGGTCGGATTTCACAAGTTATTTTGGAAAATGGAAAAATGGAAAAGTTTTACTAGGAACCTCTATGTCATGGTTCGCGTTGGATATTGCTTTTTATGGAATCGGTCTTAATAACGGAATTATTTTGAGTGCTATTGGCTACGCTGACACACATGATGCAGATTTTAATCTAAGGGCTTATAATTCACTCAAAAATATGGCTCTTGGTAATATTATTATCACTATTATGGGAACCGTTCCTGGTTATTGGGTTACTGTAGCTTTTGTTGATAAATGGGGTAGAAAACCTATTCAAATAATGGGTTTCGCTGTCCTCACTGTACTATTTATTGTCATGGGTGCTGCCTTTAATCCACTCAAAGAACATTCTATTCCAGCTTTTATCGTCTTATTCACATTGTTGCAGGTAATTAAACTTCATTTTCCTTATTTCTTTTCACATCTTAATGTAAATTATTTATCACTAAATTATATTACCTTAATTCCAGTTCTTCCAAAATTTTGGTCCCAACACAACAACATTCATCGTTCCAGGGGAAGTTTTCCCAACACGTTACAGATCAACTGGTCATGGTATATCAGCTGCATCCGGAAAACTTGGAGCTATTGTTGCTCAAGTTGGTTTCTCAAAACTAAAAGACATTGGTGGACCAAACGCATTTGTTGGACAATTGCTTTTAATCTTTGCCGCATGGATGTTTATTGGGGGTTTATTCTCAATACTCATTCCTGAAACAAAAGGTTTGTCTCTTGAAGAATTAGCAAATGAAGACCATGATTTCAACGTTGAAGAAAGGAAAGAAAGAGTAAAGGCGGAAGCATAATAAAATCTACACATAATATATCTAATATAAACACACATTCAACATATAAAATTTTTTTATTCTTTTACATTACGATAAATTGGGAGAATATAAAAATCCCTGTAAATTCTTTAATGTATCAAAACATTATTATTATTATTATGTATTTATAAAAAAAATATTTCAATCATATAAATATGAAAATAATCTAAAATTTTTTCTTTTTTCCTAAAAAAAAAAAAAAAAAAAAAAANTCAAAAATAAAATAAAATAAAATAAAATAAAGTCACTTACTAGGATATCCAGATAGTGCCGATGGTAAAATAAAGAATGAGTACAAATAATATAAAAAAAAAAAAAAAAAATAATATTAATAAAGTTCAAACATTTTTAATAATTAATATTTTTAAATGTTAACAAAATTTTCAAAAATATAATTTGTTATTGTATGTTATATTTTGCAAGCTTCTTACAAATTTCGTTGACAATACTTTTTGCTTGATGCTATTACTTCGGCATGACATTTCATCCCTCCTATAACCGGGTTTTTTTCCGAAATCGCCCCCTATAAAATTAATTTTGATGATGATAATCTTGCAAAAAAATAGAAACAATAGATCGACATTGCATGTGAAACCCCACAATTTGACAACCATTTCTGTTATATCTTTAATTATTTTCTTTGTAGTTTTAACGATAACGTAATACAATATCCATACTCACAAGTTTAAAATATTGTTGTTTGTTGATCGACCATCTCTGATCCAGAAAGGTTTCTCACGTGGTGATCAATGTTTGAAAGAAATTTCGTTTAAGAACATTCTTTTAAAAAGGGGAGATCATAATGCCGCAATTCATTTAATACTTTATTTCTTAAAAGATAATTAAATTTTTTCTTTACTACTTATTATTAAATTTAAACAATTCGAGCAAAATCTGTATTTATTATAAATTTGTGTACTAATGTTAACGTTTATTATAAATCTTTTTCGCATGAATCGCAATAGATTAGCTTTTAATAAATCTATTCTAAATGGTAAAAAATAAACCCGCATAATACATCATATTGACAAAAGTATTACGTATGACAGTTGAAGCTTACCCATTCATATATAGTAGATTAACACACAATGGGTCAAATTTCTATAAAAGATTTATTTTCGTTACTTTTAAAAAACCTTTTTTTATTATTTTCTTTGTAGTTTTAACAAATAACAATAATGTAATACAATATCCATACTCACAGTTTAAAAATATTGTTTGTTGATCGACCATCTCTGATCCAGAAAAGTCTCTCACGTGGTGATCAATGTTTGAAAGAAATTTCGTTTAAGAACATTCTCTTTAAAAGGGGTCATAATTCTGCAATTCATTAATATTTTATAAAAGATAATTAAATTTTTTTTCTTTACAACTAAAACTAAAAAAAAAAGGAGATCTACTAATTCTACTTATTATTAAATTTAAACAATTTGAGCAAAATCCGTATTTATTATAAATTTGTGTACTGACATAACGTTTATTATAATTCTAAGTTATTTAATTTTCGCATGAATCGGCAATAGATTAGCTTTTAATAAATCTTATTCAAGAAAATTTGATCTTCGAATTTGAATCTGATAATATCTGATCCAGATAAGTCAAAATGGTAAAAAAAACCCCTGCAAAATACATCATAAATGCTAGTACTTGAAAAAAATTCTTTGACGCAAAAGCATATATAGCAGATTAACATGGTTAAAATTCTATAAAAATTTATTCCGTTACTTTTATTATTATTTTCGTTGTAGTTTTAACAATAATGTAATACAATATCATACTCAGTTTAAAATATTGTTTGTTGATCGACTATCTCTGATCCAGAAAAGTCTCTCACGTGGTGATCAATGTTTGAAAGAAATTTCGTTTAAGAACATTCTTTTTAAGGGGATCATAATGCTGCAATTCATTAATATTTTATTTTTTTTTAAAAGATAATTAAATTTTTTCCTTACAAACTAAAAAAAAGAAGATCTACTAATTTTACTTATTATTAAGTTCAAACAATTTGAGCAAAATTCGTTGATGCAACGTTTATTATAAATCTAAGTTATTTAATTTTCGCATAAATCGGCAATAGATTAGCTTTTAATAAATCTTATTAAGAAAATTTGATCTTCGAATTTGAATCTGATAATTCTGATCCAGATAAGTCAAAATGGTAAAAAAAACCCCGCATAATACATCATAAATGCTTGTACTTGAAAAAAGATTCTTTGACGCAAAAGTATTACGTATGACAGTAGTAGATTAACACACAATGAGTCAAAATTCTATAAAAGATTTATTTCGTTACTTTTAAAAAAACTTTTTTTTATTATTTTCTTTGTAGTTTTAACAACAATGTAATACAATATCCATACTCAGTTTAAAAATATTGTTTGTTGATCGATCCAGAAAAGTCTCTCACGTGGTGATCAATGTTGAAATGAAAAGTCTTTTTTAAGGGGGTCATAATGTTGCAATTCATTAATATTTTATTTCTTTTAAAAGATAATTAATTTTTTTCTTTATAACTAAAAGAAAAAAGGAAATCTGCTAATTCTACTCATTATTAAATTCAAACAATTAGAGCAAAATTCGTATTAATTATAAATTTGTGTACTGATGCAACGTTTATTATAATTCTAAGTTATTTAATTTTTGCATGAATCGGCAATAGATAAGCTTTTAATAAATCTTATTCAAGAAAATTTGATCTTCGAATTTTGAATCTGATAATTCTGATCCAGATAAGTCAAAATGGTAAAAAAAACCCCCGCATAATACATCATAAATGCTAGTACTTGAAAAAATTTTTTAACGCAAAAGTATTACGTATGACAGTTGACCCATATATAGTAGATTAACACACAATGGGTCAAAATTCTATAAAAAATTTATTCCGTGTTTTATGTATAATATTTATATTTACGGATAAATTTTTAAAGATTCTTACTTTTGCCTCTTTGGCTACATTAATATCATTTTTTATAATACATTTTACAATTTCTAATACTAGAAAATTATGGAATACAATTGCATTTCGTAGCAAACTTTATTTTTATATATTTTATATGATCAAGTTAATTAACATTTATAACATTTACAAAAGTAATAATATCACTATAAAGTATTAAATAGTAATAATAATTTTTCATTAATAAAAATGCATGTGATAAATAATATTATTTATTAATTAATCACTTTTTTTTGAATTTAGAAGGTTGTATTAATCTATAATATTTTTAAATGAAATAAATCATTGTACAACCTGTTTATATGGTGCAGGAAATCTATACTTAACAATAAAATCCTTATAAATTTTTCTACACTTTATAAAATTTTAAAGAAATAATCTGATAACTTTATTTTATGACAAGTACTATTAAATTACCAATTAAATTTTCAAAGAATGACTGATATAAAAAGTTATAAGCATTTAAAATATGGTAATTTTTATATAATTAGCCTTATTTTTGAAACAAAAGAATCATATGGTTGCGAAAAAAACTCTCTTCCCTTTCTCTCACTTTTCTTAATGGAAATAATATTTCACTCATTTTAAAATACTTGTATTTAAAGAAGTTGCCCTAAATACCTGGTTAAAACACCAACTTGGTTTCCACTACTTGTCTCTATTGGGTCTAGCAGCACTTATTCATATAGTTTGAATGACTTTAGTTATAAGATTGAAGATTCCAAGCTGGAAGGAAGAAATTTCCATTTCGCTCAGTGGTGAAAGTTCATTTTCTTAATAATAAGGTGTTATTCCTTGTAATAGTTTGGTGAAGTTTCCCTCTTTACCTAGGTTTTTACTCCTTCAGGTGGTTTTCCTAGAGTTATGAATTTTTCTTATTTTTTTGGTGAATTTTTCTCATCTTTCTTTTTTGCCTTCTGCTTTTTGGAGTTTTTCTGGGGTAGGGAGGTATCCCAAAATTGATCGATATCAGGTGGTTTGTAGATCTTTTCTTTTGAGAGAGTTGGGCGTAATTTAAGGCAGTATTGTCAAATGACACTGAAATGACATTGAAATGACATCAAATGATATTAAATGACATCAATTTTATTATGAAAAAGTATGAAAAATGATAAATGTCATTTGAAAAATAGGCAAATAATATGGCAATTTAACAACACTGATTTAAGGGGGTGCAGATCTTAATGATTAGTTTTTGGTCAGGTGAGGTCAAGGTGGCACATGTTTGGACTATCATGGGTTTTTTACTGCAGTTTAGTTTAGATTAGAGGGATTGTTCGAATGAGATGGGTGTCCTTTTGGGAATTGCATAACACTAAAAAGTTCTCCTTTAGTTTACTATTAGGTAGTTTATTAACTCTGGTAATATAGTCACTTGGAGAATTTATTTTTATTAACAAGTGTGGGGATTTTTATCAACCAAGGGCTGGTGGTTTTTAGTTCTGATAATCTGTGAAGTACAGGCTTCATTTCATCTGGTCTCATTAGCTGGCGTGTCAGAGGTAGTAGTCTAGTTGGGTTGTTGTGCTATGAGGTGGATTTTTCTGTATACTTCACAATTGTGCCTTCTTCCTGGCTAAGCCCACCAGTTTGAGTAGATTATAGGTGATGTAGTTTGTTAGTATTTTGTCAATTTTGACTTATATATTTATAATTTCTACTTAAATTCACGTCTATATTAGATATCTGACTGGAACCCATTAATAAAAAAATCATATGATTGCAATTTTACAGAGGGCGATTAAAATTATCTAGCCACTTTTCAAGTTGGAAAAACTTATATATATATATATAGTAATAATAAAATTTTAAGTTAAACAAATTCATTATCACAATTTAATAAAATATACCATTAATAGATTTTTATAATATTCTGAAAGAATACCTTTCAATGCATTTTTAACATAGTACTTTTCAAGTACTAGTTTTATCAGAAAATTTAATAAGATATGCAAGCATAATATTGAAAAAGTATTATGCTATAATATTGCATATTAATTACAGGGTATTATGCAAGTGTAATACTATGTAAATTATAAAATTTTTCAAGTTTGCGAAATTTGCAAATTTTAAAATTTAAAATTGTATGTTAAGGTTATTTCAAAATCTAGTAATTGAAATATTGTAATTTTGGGTTTATCAGATTTGTCTTACTGAGAGGAATTCATCACATGATTACACTCTAAAAACCTAAATGTTACCTATAATATTTTCTGATCCTGTAATTAAAATTTTATGATTTATACCTCTTTTAATCTATCTCATTGAGATGATTTGAATGGTGGTAAGTACAGGTTCATTAGATTAATATTGGCGGAATTATGATATTTTTAAGATTTTTAAGTTTGTTTACACAAAATTGTAAAATTTAAAAATTCATACAATAGATGATTTTATATTTTCAAAAATATGAAGTATTGGAATTTGTTTATTGTGATTATAAATACAAAATTATATTTATTTATTAAAATTTTAGCAAAATAAACTGACCAGATAATTTTGATCACCTTCTGTATTTAGCCAATATTTTGGTATTGTTAAATATTACCAGTAATACGTGATAGTTATTAGCAGTGATAAATTTATGATGTAATGCCAGTCAGTATTTTATTAGATTTTTAATTCTGCCTAAAAATACATTATAATGCTAATATAATAATTTTTTTAATTTAAATTAATATTTAGTTATTAAATATTATTTCAAAGTTTAAAATTTTAAATTTATTTTTTTATTTGATTTTTTAAAATAAATGGTAAAACTGTTGCAATTTTAAATTTACTTTTTTTTATATTTAATTATTATTTTTTTTATACAAAATTATGAATTCATTTTTTAAGTAATTGCTAAAAAAAATATAAAAATACCTGCATTTATATTTACTATTCAAATATTAATTGTAAATCAAATAATTATAATAAACAATAAGTATTAATTAATTATATTGGTTGTATAAATTATTATAAATTAACAGAAATTTGCAAAAATAAATATTATTATTAAATTTAAGATATATAAAATCTGTATTATAAAGTTAAAATATTACTTAATATTATTATAATTTATCTAGTAGTAAATATACTATAATATAATAAATATAATGTATATATATATATTGTTTTTTGATTTTTATATATCTATTATACATTAATTTACCATTTTTTTAAATATATATTTATTATATGGATAAACTTATTTGTAACAGCCTGTTATATGGCTTATTTGTAACAGCTTCCTTTTTTAGAAATTTATATATAAGTATTTCTTTATTAATTTATTTAATAACAAAGGAAAAGTTAAAATGTACTATAAAATTGTTGCAAAAAAAATTAAAAAAAACATCATAAAAATTGTAAAAAAAAAATACTATAAGAGTTATAAATACCAAAAAAACCATAAGAATTAAAGAAAAAAATATCATGAGTTGTAAAAAAATATCATAAAAGTTGCAAAGAAAATACCAAAAAGTCATCATAAAAATTAAAGAAAAGTACTATAAAGTTGCAAAAAAAGCACCAAAAAAACCCACTATAAAAGTTAGAGAAAACATTATAAGAGTTATAAAAAAGCATCACAAAAGTTGCAAAGAAAATACCAAAAAGACACCATAAAAGTTAAAGAAAAAGCATCATAAGAGTTGTAAAAAAGCATCATAAAAATTGCAAAGAAAACACCAAAAAGATACCATAAAAGTCAAAGAGAAAGTACAATAAATTTGCAAAGAAAACACCAAAAAAAAAAAATGCCATAAAAGTTAGAGAAAACACCATAAAGTTGCAAAGAAAGCACAAAAAAAAACATCATAAAAGTTAGAGAAAATGTTATGAGAGTTGTAAAGAAGCACCACAAAAGTTGCAAAAAAAAATACCATAAAAATTAAAATTAAAGAAAAAACATCATGAGAGTTATAAAGAAGCACTATAAAAGTTGTAAAGAAAAACACCAAAAAGACAT